TCTTATTTCTTGGATCCCAGTCTCCAGAGGTACAGTGTGAGTGTGTTTGTGTGCTGTTGAAGGAGCGCCCTCAGGAGGACGGGGGAGCAAGGATGTCAGAGGGGGGGGATCAATCCTCCCCTCCTCTTTCCCTCCCTGGCCAGCTGGAAATGTGCCGTGTGACCATCCGATCTAATTAACTGAACTTTCAGTCTTGACAGTAGGAGGCTTTAAAAAAAATAATAACTCTAGCTTTCTTGGCTCTCAGCCTCTTGAGAGATAAGGGAAAGGATCTGATTGCAGGGAAGTGGAGTCCCAGCTCCCTGGTTCCCGCTGCCAGGGGCAATCAACTGTGAGCTGAAACCTCCATCCTGAAAACGCCAAGTGGAATGAAAAATCCAGAGTGCCCAAGAGCAGCGACTCAGGAGTCCTAGGGCTCAGATCCCGCAGGAAACTCTGCAGCAGTAAAGCAGATATCAGAGGGTAAGAACGGGTACCTTTCTTGCCCCTTCTATGGATGCCTACCCGGTGACCCCCAGGCAAGCTCCTCCTCGATGCCACCGGCCAGCCTCCTGGGGTCGCCTGATGCAGCTCCACTCTGTGCCAGCTCCTTGCAGAAGGACTGATCTCTCGGGGGTGGTCCTCCCAGACCCTGCTTTCTCAGCCTCCTGGTTCCCCAGGCCCTACCATGGGCCACCCAGGACCCCCTCCCTGCCATCTCCCCTTGCTGGACCAATGGCCACATGCAGGCCTCCAGCCATACCGAAAGGGCATGCTGAAGGGACGCCAGTGGCACAGAGAGCAAAGGCAGAGCCACCTGGGAAGGCCTCGGGGGCCCTCGGAGGTGGCAGGAGGACACAGAATTCTCCCAACAAGGGCTGCAAACTCAGATGGAGCTGCAGAGCATGAGAAGTCTGTGGGTACATTTTCTAGAGAGAAGAGGAAGTGGTACTGTTTCAGGGGCCACCGCAGTGCCAGCCTGCTTCCCCCTCACCGCTGCTCATCTGATTTTGTCACATGCAACATATTAAACCAGACAACCCACCTGGAGAGCGGCACTAGCTGAGCTCATCTCCTGTAGCCACCATCCCATCCTCACTGGCCCAGCAACATCTGCTGTCCTGCTCCAGTGATGGTGGGGCCAGGAGGATCTGGGGCAGAAGTGTGGAGCACCTGGGACCCACGGGGGCTGGACAATTGGGTTCCGGGGTCACTGGAACCTAATGGGAGAAGTAGAGAGACAGGATGGCAGGTGGGCTGCCTGGGGCCGAGAGCCACCACGCCTGGGTGGAGTGAGGGCCCAGTGCCAGCTCTGGAGAAGTGCCACCTTCTCCCAGGAAGCTCTGGCCAGGGGCGGGGGGGGGGGGAGGACAACAAGTACACACAGTACCTCACCAGCAATTGCCACCCAGCCCGAGTAAACCCTGCCAGTAAGTCACTCGGACAAGTCAGCATCCGAACCTCAGAGACCACCCCAAACACACACAGACACTCACACTCACACACACATCTGGGTCTCTGTCCTATATTCCCCAAGGTGGTTATTATCTCTTTACACTTGGATTTATAAGCCTAGTAACCTACAAACAATTTTATTCTTTTGCCTACTATGCACTTGACCATAAAGCAAATGAGCTCTCAGCCAAACAGTTAAGCCTCCCACTGGTGGTGTTAACTGTTCAGAAACCATAGCACAGTTTTAAACCAAATTGTGCTTTTCCCCACATGAAAATAAATTGCCCCCACGTCAAGGGGTGATGACCATATGGCAAATCCCCGATGAAAAAGGTTTAACCTCACTTTAACCAAAGTGTGAAATATTTACCATTTTGGGGAAGAGGAGATTAATTTCAGGCCTTTGACAAATATTATCTATTAAGAAAAATTATAGGGCAGCCCCAGTGGCCCAGCGGTTTAGAGCTGCCTTCAGCCCGGGGTGTGATCCTGGAGACCCGGGATTGAGTCCCGCGTTGGGCTCCCTGCAAGGAGCCTGCTTCTCCCCCTCTGCCTCTCTCTCTCTCTCTCATGAATAAATAAATAAAATCTTTAAAAAAAAATTATAGAATGTAAGATATTATAGTCAAATTTCAAAATGATAATCAACCTGGTATCAAATGGATTTGATCTCATTTGCAGTATTTTTTTATTTTTTTTCATTTACAGTATTAAAGAGTATAGAATTCTCAAATCAGAATCTGATTTTTTTTTAATTTCCAAAGCTTGATCATAGGGGTTTGTTAGTCTTTGTAGTTTCTACTTTATTTTAAAAGTGGGCTCATGAGCCCACTTCCCAGCTAATATCAATATCTGACCTTTGCAAATTAAAATCGACATTTACTATCCTTCCCTATTATGGCAGCATTGCCAATTACACTTAGCACCAACTTCAGATGTGACAGATGCTCACCTGCCCTCTGGCTAAAAATAGCTATCATCAATGACAGGAATGGCAAATGTTCTCGGCCTGCTTAATAATAGCCCATTAGGCCACTTTGTGAAACAGGCAGATAAATCCCTCACCAAAGAGTATCCTCCACTTCACCCACCATGGGATGCCAAAAACCTTTGCCCATCAGTCACCCAGATAGCTTTCATCAGTTAAAAATAGAGATCCGTCAGCACCCCAATTCACAAGCATAAGCTGCACACCACAATCTGCAGAACCCAACGGCACCACCGTTTCAGAACAAGGACCCCAGAGGTGCTGGAGTCAAAGAAGATTCCACAAATCTTAGCGTTGGCCTCCTCTCTTCGTCTTTGCCAACACCATATAACAGGGATGCTGCAATAGGTAATCTATTTGCATTCCAGGCATCTACTCTGGGCAGCCAATAGCATTCTATTGAAATTACTGGTTTCCCTTGAAATGCATCTGTGCCATTTACGCTAATTCTCCTTGCTGAAAAACTTTCACAAACTATCTTAATTGCTTGGAACAATTATACTATATTGTAATTATCACGTTGCCTTGTAATTATTTGCTTTGTGAGGGTGTCCTTCCCCTCCCCCACCCACCTCCACCTCCAGGTGTGAGCTCTTTGAAAGAGTTCCCTGTGGCCTCAGCATCCACTATGTGCCTGGTACATAGAAAAGCACAGTACCTTTGGTTGAATTGAGTAAATATGAACTGAAGCTATGCCAATCACTTCTTCCTTCTTAGATTCTGTTACGACCCCCATAATTTACGTTATACTTAAGTGGTTACTCGGCAAGGCTTATCACCAATCCTGAACATCCACTGTGGGCTTCAGTAGATCAATGTAATGTGGGAAAGAAGTAGTCATTTTCAGGTATTTATGCATTTGGTTCCTTAAATGTCTACCTCCGAAAAAAAATTAATAATCCTGATTACTACTATCCCTAAGGCAAGTCTCACATTAAAGTCAAATAAGTAAGGCCCTGGGTGGCTCAGTGGTGGAGCGTCAGCCTTTGGCTCAGGGCGTGATCCTAGGGTCCTGGAATCCAGTCCCGCATCAGGCTCCCCACAGGGGGCTTGCTTCTCCCTCTGCCTATATCTTTGCTTCTCCCTGTGTCTCTCATGAATAAATAAATAAAATCTTTTAAAAAATAAATAAGTTAAATTAGTATGTATAAGCCCAGCTCAACATCTAGTACATGGGAATGCACTTGGAACATTAGCTCTGTCCCCATGTTCTGGTGAGCGTCTCTAGTGATGTCAAAGCCCGAAGGCAACAATTCGGTTAATGCCTTCCTCACTCACTGACACCTGCCTTCTCATTTCAGGCTAGTGGCAGTAACAATCATCCAGACACCTGGTCACAGTCTTCCCCTCCTTTCCCCCAGCCAATGAATCATTGCTCTGTTTTAATTTTACTCGCCTCCCTTACCTCCTGTTTGACTAAGGCCAAAAAAACAATGGGAAGATACCCTATGGATCCCATATGCAAGCAAAACCTAAGTAGGCAACAATAAAGGGAAGAAAGAGGTTTTCAACTTTCTTCAAAATTGACAAAAGATTTAACAAACAATAAAAGACACCACCGCCGCCGCCGCCGCCTATCAATGCAAAACTGAATTTTAGCCCCGTAACAGACACTGTTGTGGGGGAGCAACAACAGGAAAGAACTGATAAATGGAACAGAGACAAATCGGAACGGCACGTGTCCCTGTGAAGAACTGAGTCAGCATCGAAGGACAGCTTCCCTGACACGGATGAGCAGGACATCCCCATGGGACAGAAAAATAAAAATGGCCAACTAACTCTGCTTGCTCATGAAGTCATCCTCTTATCATGGAAGTTTTTGAGGGTCCCTGACCAGGAAACTCCCTAACCTTTGGAGGCAGACATTCTGACCTCTGTGAAGCAATCACACGTGAACCAGGTCCCAAAGTTTCTCATTCTCAGGGAAACAGAAACATGTAAGTGGAGGAGGAGCTCCTACCTCTTGGCCACCCACCCAGATGCAAACTCCCAATGCTATGTAGCCTACAATCCCAGCTGGCCTCATCCCATACAAAGGATGACACGAGGGATTTACAGGTTGCCACGATAATACTCCAAGCAACTGGAGACACACGCTGAAGTCAGATCCCAGGGGATGGTTTCATTAGGTAGGTGAAATCTGAAATGTCTGCCCAGGTAACAAAGCAAGATTATCAGTCATTGTCACTTACTTGTTTTTGCCTTTTTTTTTAATTTGATTTTTTTTTTTAATATTACATTTATCTGTTGCCTTTGTGTTTTTAAGGTAGGCTTTCCATCCCAATGTGGGGCTTGAACTCATTACCCCAAGATCAAGAGTCCCATGCTCTACAAACTGAGCTGGCTAGGCACCCCTGTTTTTAATTTTAGAAGCAAGCTCTTTAAATCTAATGCGATCAAGGCCAGCGGAGACAATCTGACCCATAGGCACTGACACCAAGGGACTGCTATCGTGCTCTGAAACTGTCCATAGGCCTACAAGGCACATCCATCCATCCAGACCAAGCTGCTGATGGGCGCCCAAACCTCTGTGACCTCCAAAAGTCACCGCCCAAGAAAAAAACTCAAATGTACTTACGAAGGGCATGCCACTCATCCTGACGGATGGTCTTCGTGATGTTGAAAGTGAGGTTCCTGGGGATGGTGGCTGAGGAGTAGTGGTATTTGATGTACGTGCATCGCTCAATTTCTCCTGGCAAAGAGAGACAAGAAACCAAACGTTAATGAGGCAGGAACCATGTCTGGGCAGTTTCTGGGATCCATTTTTCTGTCCTAAGGAAAAAGACTTGTTTCCTATTGGGCCTGGTGACACCTATGGTTTATACAAGGCAATAACTTCGACTTTTCAAAAGGTAATGTCTCCTCTCAGGAGAGTAGAACTAAAGTCAAACACCATCAATTTAAATAGAAAAATACCTCTCTGGCATCATTCAAAGAGGAGATGAGCCAAAGTTTAGGCTGATAGCAGCTTGCTAAGAAAGTAGTGCCTGTGCTTGTTTAACCTTAAGAAAATCAACTTTCAAGTGATGAGAAGACATGAACAGTTTGTACCCATGGACCAATACAGAACAGGCTCTGGCCTCCATGAGGTCATTTGTGCCTTGTGGAATGGGTGAACCAAAGAGGCGTCTTCTCTTTTCCCCATCCTAGGCCCTAACATCACCTGAGCACAAAGCACCCAAATCAACATCTATCTCCTTGAACCAGCCCCTTCTCAGGCTTCTTGGCGCACGGGGTGGAGGGGAAGGGGGGGACACGGGTGACACTCAAGCCCCTTAACATACTCAGCACCTGATCCAATAGAGCCTTTACTGGTAATGTGACTGGCAAAGCATGAATTACTAACTTATTAAAGTACTCCTCTATCTTAGAGCAGAGTTTCTCAAAGTGTGGTCCAGGAACCATCAGCATCCTCTGGGAACTTGCTAGAAATGTCATTTCCTAGGCCTAATCCCAGATCTGCTGCATCAGAAACTCAGAGACAGAGCCTGTAATCTGAATTTTTAATAAGCGCTCCAGGTGATTATGTTGTACTCCTAAGTTTGAGAACCACTGCCCCCGAGAGTCTAACAAATTACCAATGTATTAATTCAGAAATCCACCATGTTTCCAAATTCCAAAAGGAAGGACCAATTAGGAGTTCTTCCTTGTTACTTTTGGTCTCCTACACGCATGTCTGCTGATGCTTGCATATCTGGGGAGAATTAAAACTCAGTACCAGGGGATGGTAAAGGATCAAGAAAGAAGTGATTTTTAAAGGTTAGGGGCTTTAAAATTTGGTTTTGCACCTGAATGGATTTGGATGGTAATCCATTTTGCACCCCACTGATTTTCAATTTATAAGTGGTGGCACCTGATTGAATTGTTTGACCCCTGGCTCACTGTCAGCAGGGAACCTGGCAATGGGTAGAGTGCAGTAATTTAGACAGTACCTCTCGTGAAACTGATGCCTTCTTGTAAATCATATCTGGATAACTGCCCTACTGCCAGTTATTGGCAGACACTCCTCCAATGGGACAGACACTGCCCAAAGAGGCAAAGTTTGAAGAAAGCGTTAGATGCACCTTAATTTTAAATCTCCTGTGCCTCTGTCCCCTTAGCCTATAAATGTCCTGAAATCTCCCAAATGTCCCCAGCATTGCCCCCTGACCACATCCCTACCAGGTCTTCCTTTTTCCCTAACTTTCTATGCTTCTTAGAAAAGTCCTCCATCCATCAGACCATCTCAGCTCATGTTCATACCCTAAACCCACGTGCTCTAACATTCTCCATGAATAGCCTCACTTCCTCCCAAGTGGTCTAGAACATAATCCCTGGGCATCTCCAATGCCTCCCGCCCCCTAGGGGAGGCCCCTCCTCCCTGAAATCCAATTGGTCACCAAATCCTGTCAGTTCTACCTCAGAAATGTCCCTGGAGGCCAGCCCATCCTCTGTGTCCTCACCCTCTTAAGTAGTTGTGTGCATACAATGACCCATCTCAACAAACAAAATATATAAGGAGGACTAACGTGTAGGAAATACTTGACAAGTGCTTCATAAACCAACAGTTTCCAACTTCACTCGTGTCATAGCACACAAGGAAGAGATGTGTGCAAAGCTCCCCGGGATAAACAGATGCGGAGGCCTGGGCCCTGTCAGCCTCCCAAGGAAGGAACCAACATTCCCAATCCACTTGTAACCCTGCATGTCCTATACTTATCCCAAGGACAGAGAACCCTGTCATGGATATGGTCTTACTTAATCCTTCATACGACCCAATTAAGCAGGTGTTCCTAGGACCATGAGCACACTGTGATCATATTTCACAAATGAGAAAATGGAGGTTCAAAAAGATTGGGTGACTTGCCCAAAGAAACAGCAGTGCCAGGAGAACACAGAAGCGTCTGACCAGAGCCTCCCTCGGCCAGGACACCCTCCATATACTGCTGCATGGACTGTATTCCAGAAAGGAAACTGTGGTCTCCTTTACACACAGGATAAATGTCACAATCTTCAGGTGGGAAGTCCCAGCCAGGTGGCCCTCCCCTACCCTTCCCGGAATAGGCCATATCCATCAGGACTCTGCACCTAGGCTCCTCCCTATTTTTCTTCACCTGATGCACACCTAACTCTAAGAAGTGGCCAAAACGGCAGCTCCTCGGCAGAGCCTTCCCTGCAGCGTGGACTGTGCCCTGCAACAGAGGAAAATACTGGTTCAGCGAGGTCCCTCCTCCCTCTCCCTGTGCTCCTGCCCTACTGCGGCAAGCACACCAATGGGCTGTGATTTATCTGTTTACACGCCTCACTCCCCCACTAGATTATGAGTTTCTCAAGGGCAGGGACTGGTCTTATCCATTCATCTCGGTCTCCCTGGCTCCCAGCACAGGGTGAGCACCAGTAAAGGGATGTGCTTTCAGGAAAGGGATGAATGATAGGAGGCGTCCTCTGTAAAACCACGGTGGACAAGGCATCCAACTGCTTCTGTTCTGTGCAAGGGACTAAAATAATTGAGACAAATCAGAATAAAAGGAATAAAAGGTGATGGCTGCGGAACTCAGCCTCCAACAAATACGTTTTTCCTATAAGACAATGTAGGGAGAGGCTTATTTGATCACAGTGAGGAAGGGGGGAAAAATATATATATAGGCACAGAACAGCCTCTCACTGTACTTTATAAATGTAATCCAAGGGGCAACCAGGTCCATGTTTCTGGGTTTTAAGAAGAAAAAGGAGAGGAAAATATAAAAGGTAGAGAATTGTATCAAGAATACCACCAGCAGCTACTTGAACACGTGTAGTCGAGCAAGTTGTGCTGGACTCAGCTTCAGAGACACCTGGCAAGACCTCACTAGAAATGGCCAGACTGATGCCCATCACTGATGTCTGAGAAAAGGATCTGATGTCTTGGCTGAGATCAGGTTCTTTCAGGCTCAAAACAAACTCAGCAAGTGGCCACGGGTTCCAGGCAGGCTGCGGTCAGCTCCCTCAGCCCCAGCCCACCCAGCCACCTGACACTTGGCACCGCAGGTGATCGGCCAGAGAGCCTGGCTGAAGCTGCCGGCGCAGCCCCGCTGGAGGCCTCGCTATTTGCTTTGCCTTGGGGAGGCAAGCATCCTGTCTTTGACAGCAATTAAATTTGAAAGACTCAAATATTGCCTCAGAAGAAAGGCAAAATATTTATCCATGTGTCTGCAGGTCCTGTCAGTGTGCTGGGCTTTTGTAAATACAGGCACCATCTGGGCACCAAATTCATGTGCCCAGAACGTGGGCTTCCCGAAACGAAAAGGTTTTCCTGCAACGATCCAGAGGGGCCACCTGAGAGGCAGTAGAGAAGCCCATGGCCTTCCCCGGAAAGAGGGACTCCTGTGTTCGTGGCCCAGAGACCTCAGCCTGGATAGGGTGGGGGCACCCTCAGAAGGGAGGACACTAAGCCTTCATCCGTGCTTTGCCTTCCTAGCTGGTGACCCACGTCAGGCTCCAGCTCACACGGGTAGCTAAGAAGGGTTTCAAAAACAGAAAATTTACAAAGCCGAGCCCAAGGTGTAGAGGTCAGCAATGGGTGGGGCAGGGACCTAGGGCTGGTGGCAGAAGAAGATGGTTTAACCCCAAGCCTGGAGAGACGGAGGCACAGAGGCCAGAACCAAGAATGGCCGCACGGAGAGGGGTGACCTGACCTGGGGCACAGGTCACAACCAGCCTGTGATGCGGTGACCAGGAATAAACACGCAACCTGTCGCTCCTCCGTCCCCTAGAAGCTGAACCCATGAGATGCTGGAAGAGGTAGAGGAGCTCAGACGTAGAGAGCAGGTGCAAGGCGGGGTGATCCAAGGAGCAAACACAGGCATCCAGTTCACTTCCCTTTTGTCCCTCTCCCCCTTCCCCTTGCTCTTCTTCTATCTCCCTGGCCCTCTCTCCTTCTAAAGGCATCACTCCTGTTCTCCCCTATTCCAATGCCAGCTAGCTCCTCCTCCCCTCCACCCACCCCTGCAAAGATCCAGGGACAAGGAAGAGTGGGAGACCACTGCCATCCTTTTTCCCCATCTCAAATCCTTTAGAACCCAAGGCCTAAGTGTGATAACTCACATGAAGTCCTCAGTGTGGTCTTTACACACAGTTAGTGCTAAGTATTAGTTATTACTCTCAACTGCCGCCTTTAAGACTACTTACTCCAAGGGGGAAAGACCAAAGCAAGTTGGAAATAACATTAGCAACCACGGTCTGCATCAGGACACATACATTTTATGCATAAATACATAGATTTATACATATAACGAGAGAGAAATTTCTGTACTTGATAACCCTAGGAGGCTGGCAAAGCAAGAGCTCTGCTGTACAGTGGACAGAGAAGAAACAGACGAGGGAAGGGAGAGGCAGAGACGGCACACAAACCCTGAATTCTGGATTCTAGTCATACAACACCACCAGTAAGCAGTTTTCCTCTCCTGTGCATCTGCTATTGGCGAGACCTGGTTTCTGAAACACTTATGGAAGGCTTATATATATTAAGGAGGAGTCTTCTTAGGCAAAGTGATTTGAGAGGCAGCCCTGGGACCCGCTCCCACTCCATCGAAAATTCTCTTCCCTGAACAGGTGCCATAGCACTTCCAATTCTTCCATTACAGAGTTGTTCCTTTGGATCAAACACTGCCCTATTAAAGCTTTAAAAGGGGCTGCCCTTTAAATAAGTTCAAATGGGTAGCACGGAGTCCCTAA